CGCCGCGCTGGTGTTGTTCCGGCTTTCAGGAAGTTTCTGTAACCGTGGCCTCGCCTTTCTTTGCATTTCTGTTGGTTGATCGTAGGACGTGCATCAAGATGCGCAAACCATTTCGCATGTACGCCACGTAATGCACAATTTCCAGAAAGCCAGATAACATCGAGTCCGGCAACTCTTTCGTCAAGATCGCGATGCCTGGAACTCAAATCTTAAGATATTATCCAGCCGTTCGTCGTATTGTTCAGAGATGAACACACGCATCTTGTCTCGTTTTAAATAAACGGGAGAAAGAAACGAGGAAAAAAATTACTTTTAACAAAATTATAAGGATGCCTCGCGCACCGGCGTGGCCCTTGCTTTTTAAACTCCTTCTCGCGGTAGGGTCGATTTTTACGTTCATTATCCGAAGAACGTTATCCAGCAACCCCCGAGGGGCCGGCGCGGCGGCGTCTACGTACGTATCTAGCCGCGGCTTGTCCTATAGGAGAACAAAATGACTCGCACGAGGAAGTATATGTACACGCGTTACCCAACCGTTCGCGGATCCCTATCACGATTCATAGCAAGACTGCGCAAATAATAATTATCGGTGCAGCTCTGCCGTTTTCCGACACCATTAACGCAATAATGCACGGCGTTTTGATTATCATTCTTCTTATCAACAGATACTTATCCACGATTGCTTTTCTCTCTTGGACCACGGTAGTCATCGACCTGAACTCGAATGTAAATCGTCCAAATGACAAAATCGTGCCAGACTAATCGTGGGTAGCGTAAGCGATTTTTGGTATTTGTACAGATTTGAGCAATGGTCGCGTGTTTGCAGGCTAGTTCGCGCGACTAACACCTCGCTGTTAATTTCGTGCTTTTCGTAATCGCGTATCTTGAGACGCAGCATAGTCGAAGCACATTGACTTGCACTGGCTTGCCGTTGCAACGTCTCGAGTCGTCAGCAGGTGGTATAAATCACGCGAAGCTGGCTCGCGTGGTAAGTTGGGTCCCGTGGTTGGCCCGCACGCTGCTCTCCCATCATATCCGAGCGGTACTATTGTGCCGATGGTGCCTGTGAGAGTCTGGTAGCACGTCGAACAATCGTATCGATAACGAGCGACAATTATGGACGAGAGTTCTCCTGTTTGCAAAACGGTATACAGCCAGCAATAGAGCTCTCTTTGCTTCTATTCCTTCGGTCTCTCTTTCCTTTCCTTTCGTTCGCACACGATCCGTGTTCGCTTTCCTCCTTTTCTTTCATTTTTCTTTTGCTCTCTAATTTGCCTATTAATTCGACGTTTCTTGATTGCTAGCCATTCCCTCTCTATCTCTATTATCTTCTTAAACGCATCTCCTACGAATCTGAATCGCCCGAGAACCTGCTATCTGTTGTAAGGTCAATGTCGGTGTTTCAACGGATCAATGGACTTCAGTCATTGTCCTCGCTCGTAAGGATAACTTGGAAGGAAAGAGGCTGTTGAAAATGGGCACACCGTACACCGGCGACATAAATCATACACCCCATTACAGGGCTGCTAGATCTTGGCACAGCGATAGCTCGCCCTTTCCTTGTTCCACCAGCGTGCAGCTCCCGTAGCTGCTTCTTTTCTTCCTGATGCCACGTTTCCACCGTGTGTCGCGCACATCGTTGCCCTCTCTTCTTCATTTTCGTTTCTGCGTTGTACCTCCTCTATGAGGTCGCGATAAGGCCGGGGAAACGCATTGTTCACGCGGTTCTTCCTTACGTACTCTTATTCTGGTCACGGAAGATTCGTTACGAAACGCCAATGCTAATAGAACGACGTATCGGATAAAAGTTACGAGACGCCTCGGCAAAGGCTGCGACAACATGATAGAAAATACAAAGTTTGTTCCTTGTCGTAAAATAATTGTACCGCATAACTCTATGGAGAGTGGTCAGACGAGTGGTACGTACCTCTGTCCGTAGCGATGACGGGAATTTCCAGATAGGGAGCTGTTTCCCTGTCCAACGGTGTTCTGACGCAAATGTCTCCGGTATCGCTGCGTACCATCAACTGTTCGCTTTCCATTCTTCCCGCGGCTAACGTGTAATTTACCATGGCGTTCACGCCGCAATCCGGATCCGTAGCTTGTACCTGAAAAAATCAACGTATTCAAATTAATTGAATGCTGACAAACAGTTGCATCATGTCGACAAATTGTACGGTCGCAAACGTCGACAAATTCGAAGTAATACATATCGCAGTGTTTTTAAAGTGTGACATTCGAAGAAACGTCATCGAGGTGGCCCGTTTGTAATATCAAACGAGATGATTAATTTGCGAGTGGTCCGTTTGTTTTTTCTCTACTGGAAAAGTTACGGGGACACGTTACAACGACGCATGTGGAGGCGTTGACAGACGCTTGCGTGCTTCCAGCACATGTTATTTATACGGACGTGTATTGCCACCTTTTACCCTCGATGGATTACAAGTACGATGTTTCGTAATGTTCCTTACGAAAATGTACCGGTATGTGTCTCAATGCAATGTATTCTTTTCCGAACGAACGCGCCATTTTGATAGGTCAGATGAAGCTATTACTTTTACAGCCAAACGGAACTATTCCATAAACCTTAAATTCATCACCGACGAGCAAAAATGCGAGTATCGCAAGTACCATGTGACCGATTACATCGAGTCGATCGACAGGTAGGTAATTGACATTGCGATCGTTTGGACGCGGGTTAACTCGTCTAGAGAGAAGAGAAAACTCGTAAATTTATCAACGTGGAACGTAATTTGCAGGATGGTAGTCGTGGTGTGTGCCAACCGTCGGGAACTCGAAGTAGAAGAAATCGAGACGCGAGTCCCGGATGGTGGTAATGAACCCTTTATCCCAGCCGGAGATGCTTTAATGACAGTTTAAAGTTTCTTCTCGCGTTCGAGGTATCGCACCGACCATCTAGCCGTGATCCGAGTGTTCCTCGGTGAAATCGTTCCGGCCATGTTCGACGAGAATGTGGAATCCCGAGATTCGATTGCGATTACATCTCGATGATCGATTACTTCGTTACGTGCTTACGGCCGATTCGTCGCTACCGATCGTTCTTAACATTTTCAAAGGTAAATAATAACAAAAACCGTAACATCGTTCGTCGCATAGGTTTCGTAATTAAGTATCAAGATCCCATTGAAAATTCTATCCGACTGTTCACGCGTTTTCCGCGACGAACGAGCGAGGAACCGAGGAAGATGCCTACCAAGGTACATAGCTATTACAGAAAGATTCCAACGGAGAGGGAGAGAGGCGAGTTTTCATCGAGATAGACGAAGGAAGATGAAAAGGAAGCAACGAAGATCCGAGCGAAAGCAGGAGAAAGAGAGACAGTAGATAATAAAGCAGGAGTCCACGAAGAATGATTTACTGGCAGCCGGTAGAATAACTTTCCCGCCAACACTGTTGCCACCTTAAAGAGGCATTGCATGGTTTCTGCAACTCGCCGAGCGAATAACACGAGAACAACGCAAAGACTAAGAGAAAAAAAGGAGGAAAGCAAGATAAAGCTGAAAAAAGGCGACAAAGAAAATTGCTGGCTCATTTTAAAAGATCTCTTCCCTAGTCAAGAATCGCCCTCCTGTCGACGCGACGTAGCAATTTGAAAAATTCAAAAGGAAAGAAAGAAAAAGTGGAACGACAAGTTTCACTTTCGTTCCAGCGATCATGCTAATGAATTATTACCGAGCATTATCAGGATAATATTACCGACTAATTCTACGCAGAACCACTTTCGCTCCTCACCATCGACTTCCTGTCGGAAATCTCGTCTCTAATGTGTCTTCGTTAATCTTTCGTATTAGTTGCCGCTTAATCTCACGTTGACGTCACCTGTTCGGTAGACAAGCAGTTACGGTTCGCGAATGATGTTATCGAAAGCATTTCTCTCCACAGAATTATTAAAGCTGGCACGTGATACGTCTGACTAGGTATCTTGTTACGACTACGATGTTCACAATTTTCTCCACTAATCTAATAACTTGCGATCGCGTACGACGATAATTTCACTTTCTATCAACAGATTGATTCCTATTCGTTCGTTTTACGCCGCACTAGTTTCGCGCCCCTCTCCCATCCTTCTTCAAACACATTTGTATAATTTTCCAATTTAGATTTGCATTTCTAAATTGCATTCTCCTGCTTCCTATTTCACGATACATATCAGGTAATCCCGACTCCGCGCGAATTATTCTTTAGTTAATGCAATCATCCTTACCGTTCCTCTTCGTCCCCGTTTCGGACTCGAAAGAAACGCAGACCGAATCAATATACTATACATTCGCTCGCGCTTTTGGCTAATTCCACGCGATGCGACGCTCGGCCAGGGAGCCGGCAGAGGGTCGAGAAAGAAGAAAGAGAGCTGTATTAAATCGCGAGCAGTTTTATCCGTTATTTCCGTGCTCGGCGAATGTATACCAGCCGATGCATTGTTCCGCTGGTTTTGTTGCGCACCGACCTTGCCGGGAATATCGATTTCAATCGGGGTGTATACGGAATACAATCCACCGTGGGTTTCCTTCGAAAAGGCCGAGCATCGTGCAGCCATAGTTCGCTGAATACCAGCGCGCACGAACGAAATACCCCGCACCCTTGCCTTGCGAGGAGAATCGAGTTCTCGTACTTTTAAAAAGTTTCTGCTGGACACAAAGGCATCCGATAAATGGAAAGGAAGGGATTCTATCGAATTTCTAATGCCGCTTCCACGTGGCGATTTGTATACAGGAAAATTCACATCGGCGTTTCACGTTTCGTTTTTTAGACAATGAGGGGACGATTCTTGAAGTGGCAGTAGCGTCTTTTTAAAATGAAGAGAAAAAAAGTTGTGAAAGCAGACTGGACCGCCATGGTGGACAAGAGCATGGGTTGGCGGTCAGTGTGATCCCACGTTCCTCGGACCACGAGGAAGGAGCATAAGCCCTCGCTATGTGGTACGTAAGTAAGTACAAGCATCGCGACAGAGGTAGAGAACCGTCTGTACGTGCGGTGGCTGTCTACACCGGTTATAAAATACGGTGCCTCGAAAGGCTCTCAGCATGCTCGCGCTTCTACCTTCGAGAGTATGGAGTACGATTCTCTTTTGGTCTTTTCGTCCGTCTCTCCATATCTGAGTCCTTTCGTCACCTTCGTTTTCTTTCGAACAAATCGGTTCGAAACCGTTCGAACGCTGTCTGGTTCGCGAGATTTAACTGCACGACAGCGGTATGCGGAGGCGATGATGCGGTGACTGGAACCGCGACAAAAGCTCACCTGTTACAGGTACAAATTGTCCGACTGCTAAAGTTATCGCTGTAAATCGTGGATGACGCGACGAACCGCGTCTGGTATGCCGACTTTTACGTGCTGCGCGCCGGCGATGACGTTGGTTGTCTAGCGATAGATGGCCTCGCTATCGACACGATCCTCGTCGATAGGACACGACATACAAACGCGAGCATTGCCGCGTGGTTTAAAGGAATCGTAAAAACATCCAACATACACGGTCAACATTTGCATATCCGAGACAATTATCACGGAAAACTATGAAGTTTCGTTCGTACAGATTCATAAGTCTTAGCCGTTTAAGAGGGGCCTATTAAAAGGCTGCAATCGATCTTCCATGTAATTGCTAGACCGGTTTGCAACGCCCGCGATCGTGCGCTGCAGTTAAATATAGTACGTTTTAAATTCTGTTCGTGCTACGCGGGATATCTAATAAGTCCGTTTCATTTCATCGTTCCAAACGTTTTATAGTTTAATCACGGCTCTAGTTTCGCCCCGCCTCGATCGATAGATTCGACGAAGGGTTCGACGTCCCGGCGGTGAAGGGAATGGCCGAGAATCGTCTCGAGATTCGACTAATGCGATGAAACTCGTCGGGTTAAGATGTAACCCCATCATTCGACGTTTCATCGCGAATGGAAAAAGATTCCTTAATATTGTACGAAATTCCTGTACATTAAGTTTACCGGAAGATCTCGCATTCTTCGAGGTCAACGAGGCCGCGCACACCAGGCACCCGTCGTACGTATACGTATACGCGGCGAGATCGTTGCTGCGTTACGATGCGATGATATTTCATACGATTATCCTTCGCAACGTTGAGTTACTAAATCATTCCCGGAGGCAGTAGTATCTTCCTTTGAACGCTCGTATAATCCTTCACGGCGATCCATAAAACCGAAACGAACTGGAGCGATCGCCACTAAGTATGCATCTACCACGTACGCTGTTTCGAAACGCCGAAATACGGTCTCACGGTTGCGTTCTTCGCGATATATTTCGTTTCTCGCGCAAACGTTTCGTTACTGCCTTTTCTTGGCTAATTAACTTCGTATCCACGAAATCGTGTCGAGTTGTGCGAACCGAAGTAGGTCGACCAGCCGTTTAACGCCGGTGTTATTATCGCGACGTTGGCGAAATTCAGCAAAAGAAGCACGACATTTTTTTCCTAGCAACGAGATTTATCGAGCGAATAGAATCGCGCGGTTTCCGAATAAACACGAAATTCCAATAGAGATAAACGCGCAATGTCCCACGCCTTTTTCCCCGTCCTTGTTTCCTACCACCAGCTTCCTGAACAGCAACAGAGAACAGTATCCGAGGGTTTTTCTCGGTTGCTCGGGTCCTAACCCCCTGCCGTCCCAGTGCTTTCCGTTGGTCGTGCGTGCGACCACGCGGACCGCCGCTTTTTGTCAACTCGTGCTCGACAGATAGAGCTGTTCGTCGAGTAAGCTGAGAAGCCATCCTCGGTATTCCCGGCTCGCCGACTCTCTGATGGACTGACAGTCGTCCACCACTGTCAAGAGTATTCCTCGCGATCCTTTCGCTCTTCCTTCCTATCTACGCGTTCTTTTTCATCTCGTGCTCCACCGCGCCGCGCCCCGCGTCCTACCTGCCGCGATCTTACGCATAGAGTATAGATTATAGATAGAGTATAGAGCGAGACTGGGTTGCGCGACGCGGATGACTGGCGCCGTGAGATCGAAACGAAGAAGAAACGGGGTACGTTGGAACTCGAATGGAAGGTCGAATTCACGAGCGACGCTCGCCACGAAAAATGCATCGAAGGAATTCCAGGAAACACTCGTTGGCTCGTTACACGCAGCGTTTTTATCTGGTG